GACGGATTGGTGTCCGATGCTCTGATTTGGTTTTAACATTCTCCGCTACAAACCAGGCAGGAAGGGCATACGGATGCTGACGGTGCAGTGCTTGGTAAAGTTAATCGTTGCGGACCTCAGACGCCAATAGAAACGAGTAAACAAAGATCACACTAGGAGGGAGTACAATCTTTAGGCTTACCTCTACCTTCATCGACCATTGTGGATGGCATCACAATCAGGTCCTCATTTGAGCCGCAGACGAATGCGAAGAGTTGCACATGGTGGTGGTCTTCATTCCAAGGATATTTGATGGCTTACCTAGACTTATATGAGAGAATGGCAGGGTTGTCACTGTGAGAGGCGATTGATTCCTGTTTTAGACAGTTTTGGAACTGCTGCCCCTTGCTGCTGCACCACACTCGTATGAATCATGCGACGGTATCAGCGACAGCTGGTACCTGAAGCTATTCGAGTCGGCTTGTTACAGTATGCATAGCTTCGATCCCATGCCTGTAATCGAGCTGAATTGGCTCAAACTATGATGTTGATTAGTTGTATCCCACGAAGTCTCGCCCAACAACAACCGACTCGCCAGAGCTCCAGGTAATGACATTGCTAGATTTCTGCAGCATTCCCGACCCTGAATGCCACATACCTATGGTAGGTAGCACGACCAGTTTCAACGGTTGAGTCCACACAACTAACTGCGAGCTTAGACTAATTCACAATGGCAGTCGAATCATAACATTGTATCATAGTAGTTGGATGATTACGTCGGTCTTGGAATGGAAGGGATTCCATAATAGTACCTAAAGCTTCCACTCCGTATATCAAATACTCAGTAATCTCAAATCGCAGGGCGGTTCAGCCGCATAACCCTTGCGACATGGTATGGACTGCTTCATAGCCAATAACAACGCGGGCTCAGTACGTCCCACGAGTCAGCGTCCATATTTGGGAGGCCACTGAAAATGCCAAAGAATGATTGGCTACCAAGACATTGGTAGAGCGCATGTCTGGCATATTTTATAACCCTCTCCTAGGATGCTCCAAAGAAGAGGAGTCATGATCTCTCCGTGTTGACTTGCGAAGGGAAGCGCATAGGATGTAGATGGATAGATCGGAGGGTGGAGACAACAAGGAGTAGTTGCTGGAGCCTTCGATGAGCCAGGCATCAATCAGGCAGCGAACCCGGTCAGCCACCGATGACATATGACGACGCTCGGCACCGCCACCAGCGATAAGTGATATTTGGATTCTACGCCTGTACTTAATACAAACAAATATGATGCTCAGTGGTTAGCTCACTCAAAATACCGCTTCTCTATTAGTCAAATTGTTCACCTTCAATCTTTAATCAACAAACGCAAAGAACCTAGCAATCAACATGGTTATCGGTCTCCTAGCAATTACCGCCATCCCCACCGTCACCGGCGTGGCCATGGGGGTGAGTGAACAGCGCAAAGCAAATGAGAGGAAGAATGATGAGCGACGCATGGCAAAGTTTAATATTGATGTCGCACCACCACCAAATGAGGAACCTGATGATGAGGTTCAAGGGTTACGGGTGGTGCTGAGGGACTTTAAGGTACGATCAAGTGTTTCCGCTGCGATATAGTTCTTATTCTTTGTTTTTTGGATATAAAGTGAGTCTGATTAGCTGACTGATTTATGTTAATCTAATAGGTTTATCTCGATGATCCTGTGCCCTCGAAGCGAAAAGTCCCCGCACACACCGCGGCAGCGTTTTATATTGAGTACCCAGAGCCAGACCATATGAAGCACCTCAAGCGGGGTTTTGGTTTGGCGACCACCATTTCAGATAACCCGCCGATGTTGGGTTGGCTATACGCGGATAGTAACACACATGAAATGAAGTATGGGAACCGGTCATCGAGTTGCGATCATGTTGTTGGCCCGTGGGATTGGGAGGATGAGGAGACCACGGTGACACTGGAGGAGAACAGGCAGTTTGTGGCAGTGCAAGAAGACGATGGCTGTTGGGCGCTTTACTACGATCGCGATGGAGATGATCTGGAGCGTGTATTGGAGGAACAGGGCAAATTGGATAATGATTTCCAACCCTTGCGATTGAAGAGGAACTTGATTGAACAGCCTGTACAAAAAACAAAAAATGATAATTCGTGATCTATATTGAAGTGCTGGTTTGGGGAATCGTAAGGTAGACTTTTCATATCTGTACAGAAACACCAACGGGTTAAGCACAACCCACATCCATAGGAGCCTAGTCCTCAAGTCCTTGCCAGCCCTGGTTGTCGTCGTCACTGCCAGAGTCTGCGCCTGACTGTGGTTGAGACTTCCTGTTGCGGCTGGCTGAGATGAGAGCCTTCTTCTTGTTCTCCTGGCGTCGCTCGTAACCACTCTTGGTACTAATTCTCATCTTCTTGTCGTCCTTCGTGCCTTGGGTCTGCCTGGCCTTGACGCCGTGCTTCTTGAGCTCCTCCTTCTTCTTCTTGCTGAGGTCCGGAAGAGCGTCCAGCAGCCACTTCTGTACCGACTTCTCTTCATTTGTGCCCCGTAGCTTCTCGCTGACGTCGATTACATTGGCGATGCTCTTGACATAAGGAATGTCCTCCTTGGTGTAATATGTGACTGCAATGCCACCTTCACGGCCAGCTCTGCCCGTGCGTCCAACACGGTGGACGTAGACGGCAGCGGAATTCGGGATATCGTAGTTAACAACCCCGTTGATACCTCTGAAGTCAACGCCACGGGCCAAAAGATCTGTGGTGACGAGGATCCAGATTTCACCCTTTCGAAACTGCTTCATGATCTCGGAACGTTGGCCGTCTGATAGCTCAGAGTGGAGGACAGCTATACGTGACGAGCCACCCGCCTCGGGAGGAATATCGTAGCGCAACTCTGAGTGTAACGCAACTGCTCTGGGAATTGTCTGAGTGAAGATCAAGAAAGGTGGGCGTAAACGGATGTCCGTAGATGATGCTGCGGCGGGGTGCAGGAGCTGACGAAGACCGAGCAGCTTTCCTTGTTCAGTGGCAGCATAAACCAGCTTGTGCTTGATGTTTGGAATGGCAGAGTCCTTGAGGCCAACCACCAGACGAAGCAGCGGATAAGACTTGGTCTCGCTTAGAGTGTCTTTCCGCTCCTTAATCGTTGACTTGGCGAGGTCTTCGACGTTCGACCCCATCGTGGCTGACCAGAGACTTGCTCGAAGCTCAGGATGCGTGCAGGAGCGCCAGATGTCAAGTGTTTGGTCGCGGAACAGAGGGTCCAGGAGAACATCCGCCTCATCGAGAACCACGTTTCTCACCAGGGGGAGAGTCGCCAATGGCTTGGTCCGGTTTGCAGAGAGCGCGTTAACAAGAAGCAATGGCGTCGTTACGAGGATGTCGCTCTTGGTGACGGGCGCCTTCCCTTTGCTGTTCTTTGCTCCGGCCTTTTCATCATCTTCAGAGCCCGACGATTCCGAATCATCTTCATCCAGGACGTCTTTGCTATCGTCTTCGTCATCGCGCTCTACCACACGCATGCCCTTCTTCATCAGAGTGATCTTCACACCGGTTCCCAGAGCTAATTTTCGGCCTTCGTTGACGATTTGGCTAGCAAGCTCTTTTGTTGGAGCAATTACAACAGACAGGATACCCCGTTCCTCCGGCTCTTCGTGATGGTGCCGGACAATCTTGTTAATCACCGGGATCATGAATGATAGCGTCTTGCCACTTCCTGTAGGCGCAACGACCAGAAGATCCGGTTCGATAGTCTTCTCAGTGCCCGACTTCTGAGCCACCGATTGGTCTCCGAGCAAAAGAGGAAGACTTCCTAGTTGAACTTCAGTAGGGACAGTAAAGCCTTGCTCAGCAATGTTTTCCGCAAGTCGTCGGGAAATGTTGTACTTCGTGCGCAGCTGTTTAAAGGAAACCAAGGGCTCCGGAAACAGCCGCCGGGCTTTCTTCTGCTCTTTCTTAGTGAGCGTCTGAGCGGGCTCCTCTTCCTGCTGCTTTCTCTTCTTCTTTTTCTTTTTGGATTCCTCTTTCTGAGGCTGAGTGGGTTGGACTTCCTCAAAATCACGCATATCAGTGACTTTGATCTTGTGCGAGTTCAAGATCGTCCGGCGCTCGACTTCATCCATCGAATCATCGCCTTCGGAATCAGATGCATCTTTCTGCTCAGACGGTCCATCTTCATCCTTTTTCGCCGATGCGCTGGCCGCAGACCGTTTACCTGAGCCGAAGAAGTCTAGATCGCCAGCATTGCCATCTTCTGCATCCGAATCACCTGCGGCTTGCGTGCGCTTCCTCTTTTTCCCGGAAGCATTCGACTCCAGGAGCTTTTCGTCACGGAAAAGCTGGGGGTTCTCGGCCTTGCCTTTGGAAGGCAGGGTCGAAGACAGGGTATTACCAGCCTTGAATTTGGTGGACCTTGTCAATAACTTGAACGCATCCATTTTTGAATATATATGAACTAACAGTCCATGCGACTAGGTATATTAGGTGGACACGAGCGTCCGAGTCCCAGCGATCGCGAGCTTGATATTGATGGTTGTCGACTAGTCGGACTTAATGAGGAAAAAGTTTCGATGCTGAAATTCTTTACCGCACGGGCCAATCAGAGGCAAGCAACCCTCACCTCCATCAAACGGATAATTCTCGAAGCTCTCAGTCATCAAGTCCAAGATATTGAGTTGCTTGGTCTAACGCTCGTGCGCTTGGTATTATGGGACTAGCTACGTCTATCAGTAATGGGCTTGAAAGTCGTTGTGCTTACTTCAGATGTAATTGTCCATTGTATCCTATTGACACCTGAGGCAGAAATCGAGCTCAAGTGTCGTGGTCATGACCGACTCTCAGCACAGACCGATTGAACTTTGTAATATGCTTATAGCCTTAAGATAGTCATGGTTTAGAAATACGACCATGCTTATAGCCTTAAGATAGGGCTTAGAGATACGACCATCAATCACCTAAGACAATGCCGCTTTGATAGCAGGATGCCTGCTATGGTCTTGGTCTACAACATCTCCCCTTGAGTAGCCAGAATTTCAACAAAATAGTCGTCCCCATGCATGAACCTAAATCTAAGACAAAAACAAATGAGACGTGCCCAATTGCTCGTATCGCACAACCTCAGACAACAGTTTATTCCATCGTCTATCATACAATAGTACAGCACAAAGGAAAACGGGAAAGGGAAGGAAGACAGGCTAAGTCACGAGTGCTTGGTATTTATCTAGTGGTGTCCGTGGTGCTCAGGCTGTCCCTTGTAGCCGACGATGTTCATCCGACCAATGATCTCGCCAACAGTGAAGAAACCAACGATCTCCGCAGCGGTGACACCAGCCAGAGCGATCTCCTTCTTGTTGGCGGTACGAACGCGGGAGATGATGTTCGAGGGAGCGAAGCTGGAATTCTTGAAGGCGGCAGGGTTACGGAAGGCGTTGGTCAGAGGCTGGAAGTAAGCCTGGAAGGTGGCCATGTTGCTATAATCCGTATTAGTTGACAAGGGTCACGGTTCGTTCAGATTAGTTGTGGGCGCTTACGGAGGAGTCATGTTCTGGCCACGGAAGACCAGCTTAGCAAGCTCAATTCCGACCTTCGAGTAGTAGACGGTAGGGGGTATCATGGCTGCATTGACACGACAGATGATTAGCAATGCTCCAAAAGATATAACAAAAATCCGGGGATGGCTCCACTCAAAGAGTGAATCACGACATGACGGCTTCCGGCAATGCCACCGTCATAGTATCATCCCAATGAATATTCGAAGGGGTTATTTGTTGCAAATAACATGGAGAGTCCGCTTACAATCGACAAAAGCGATGACTTTTCCGGTCCTTCCACCGACCTTCCTGAGGGCGCTACCGAGACCCTGGGCGGCGTTCGAGATGGCGGGGCCAGCCGTCGAAGAGACGCGAGAAAGACCCTCAGACGCCTTCGAGGCAGCAGAGGAAGCAGTCTCGCCAGCCTTGGAGGCGGCTTCGGAGGTCGAAGAAGCGTACCTGACCGCAGACCTGCGGGTCAGGAACTGCGATTGCCGAAGCACGGCACGGGACGCCGTGGCGGGCATCTTGAAGACCACTGGGGGAGATAGAACGCTAAAAGGAAAGAATGACTCTGAAAAGTCGCAGGTGGAGGACAGAGGAGTCCAATGGCGGTAGGGTCAAGAGCCGGTGACACTGGATCGTCGCGCAATTGCAGGACCAGAATTGAGATTTGAAGTCGGGAAGTTCAGGGAAGAGCCTCCACTTCCGTGTCACGTGCACTCGCGCTCATGCCTTGTTTATCAAACCATCACACCAACTCGATCTTTGCGAATCCAACACACTTGGCGATTTCGCTTCTTCCAATTATCAATTCGGCCAATCGCACATTGATACTACATCTACATTAACTTGGTCAAACTCTGTGGCCCGGTGTATCCTTACAACATCCGAGGCTTCCGTTCTGCCGAATGGCCGTGCTAATTACCTCGCAATCTACACGTCAGTTTGAGCTGGCTAATCCAAAGATAGACATAATGTGCCCACCACATGTGGAAGCACTTCCATGCCAAATTGGAATCCTCGGTGGGTGGCTGACTGGATAACAAGGAGTATCAAGCTTTTTGTCACGTCGCATCCACTTCAACCTATTCCCTAACACTATACCTTGACAGCCACCGAGAGCCAGTCATATCACCTATAGCCAGTTACCGGCGCTATCATACAAACCAGAGAACATGGAGGAGTATATAGCGTGACCGGCTGTCTGGCAATCTATTAGGAGGACCAGTTTGGGGTCTCTATTTCAAACACCTGTGGTGGTTAAGCGGACAGGCTATTGAATGTCAAACACTTCAAACACCCCTGCATATATAATCGCCTGAGATATCAACACCTGTGGGTACAAGGCAGCATTCAGATTTGCTAACGACATGAATCCTTGATGTGTATAGGGCTCCACATGTATTTTCGACAGTGGACAAACCCCAGCAGTGATTATGCTAACAAAGTCATTATCGAACGAGTATCGTTAAGAGACCATCAATTCTCTTCGTATTGCATCTCCTTTTGACATATCGGTTCAAGCCCCCGGCTGTCTGTCATCCATGGCATCCACTACAATGAGATGAAAGCAGCCTTCTGTTCCGATAAAGCCTTGGCGATGCTGATTATCATTGTTCGATTGGTAGCATCAATAGCTTTTCATCTCTTAGGAGCCTTTATCGTAGTCACTGAACACACAGCAATTATTCAATGGATCACAGTCTGACAGCTGCCCTTTGAAACACTGTAGCACACTTCCTCAAATGTAACATTACCTTCTTGCGCTCTTATCTTAGTTGTTCTGCGTACAAGCCTCCTTAGCTTAGCAGCCTAACAGACCACTATACGAAATGATTGAAACAGGTGTACATACTGCTGACAACACCAGCACATGTACGAGACGAGACGTATGTACTGAATCACATCCAGTTTTTATGAAATACCATACACCAAACCCCCCTATCACAGCAGCTTCTCGACTTCACCAAATACCCAGAGTAGCACACCAGCACACCAGCTCTATAATGCTACTCAAATCAGATGATATGGCAAAGCCCCTGAAGTCCTTTCTGCTAGGAGATATGATCCATGCGATATCGATGGTAGGAAATATCTCTGTTATAATGAAGGTACGTAAACCTAGCTTGGACCCACGGGCTTTTCTCAGGCTACCTCAATGGGGGTAGTGGATACTAGGATAACGGTAGTGAGTAGGAGAACTCAAGCCGCTTTTCTTTATGGCAAGGGCCCCCGGTATTTGGCTTAGATGCCGGACTCCACAGCTTTCAGATGGAGCCGTCAGGCAACGGCTCGTCGACGATCTTCAAATAGACGGAAGAGTAACCGTCTTTCTTGATGACCTTTCGTTGCTAGGGAGGAAGATACTGGGGCCGATTGATCAATTCGAATAAGTAACGAAGGTGTGTGCTGAGAGATTGGAATCGCATTGAGGGTTTTTATGGTGATGAAGGCATTGATGATATATATAGAGAGAGGTTGGGGGGGGTAATGGAGGGATGTATTAGAGTTCTGTGAATAGCTTCTATGACTTATAAGTAGCAATCAACATACTAATGTGATATACACTTTTCATGATTAAGTCGACGAATCTTCTCATGCAGTTAGATTTCAGACTACTGAACGTATTGGGAAATCGCTCTTCTCCTGTAGGGCCCGGTATCTCAGCCCAGAAGTAACCACATTCTCGTCGACTGCTACTTTAAGCGGAAACCTAAGTAGTACCAGTACATTAAGTCACTTAGATTACTCTTCGGTAGGCTATCAGGATCAGCTCGAGTGCAATTTCACTAGCAATGGGACCCCGTTTAGCAATGGATCCGAGCACACGTTTGCCCATATCAGGAAGCACTAGTGCTCATAATCAGGCAAACAGGCGAACGCTGTACAATTAGTATGGGAATCAGATCGAAGCAGTCTTGGTGCCAGGACTTCCAGATTAGGAAAAGTGAAAAGATAGACCGTCGGACTATTCAGTGTCCTAAATTCCATTCCCACTGTGGCTGATTGCTTTAGCCGACCAGCAGTCTAATCGGGAATGTACTGTGGACTTATAGGGGTCATATTTGTTGTTTAATGTCGATCTCAGCCCTCTCGGTTCAACGCATGGCTTCTGATCTGCTGATGAGAACAAATGGTGGACCGATCCATGGAAGGGTTTTGGTAAAAATGGTTGGTGTTCCTGATAGTCACGTGAAATGCCTGATTTCGGAGATCCACATGCCGCTTAGTCATGAAGCGCCACCAACTTCAGGATTTCTCTTCACCTGTTGTGCGTGTCGCGCCACGACGCAATCAAAGGTGGCTTTGCATTAGCAGTGCGCCCTGATCGTGCGACTGGTGTGACACCTACATCATCATCTCCGGCAGGAAAGCCCAGTTGAGGCTATTTTTACTGCGTGGCGCAGAACTCCTGCTGTGTATATTCAAAACCAAGCCTTCAGAGCCGGATTAAGCTTTATCCCCCATGCCACATCAATAAGGTTATGGCAGCTGAGCATAGGATGATCTCTTCGCCATTCCACAGAAAATTGTCCGGTTGATCTGCCCTGCTATTTTTTCATCGGCGGAAAATTGAGTTGCTCTATTGATTCTGGATCCGTTCCGTCGTCGGCACCACTCCATGATGTTCACAAAATATCAGTCGCGAGGCATACAGACAGGCTCAATTTCGCCCCTACTTGAACCTGCACATATACCTAGTCTAGCCCTTTTTAGTCCGTACTAGACAAGCAATGACAAGGCGCATCACAAATGCTTGCTGTTGGACACTAAATTGTCTGCCTAACAAGTGTATACGTAACGCCCATCGAAGCCAAGATCAGTGGGTCTCCACACCGTAGACCATGGTCCAATTCTAGAATCAGAATTGAGGAAGACAACTCACTTGATTGGGCTCTCTAACTCTTCATAGTATGGCTCGTTTCATGAACAACGATGCTGAATGGATAGCCTTACATAGCTTTGGGCCCCATCTACCTGCTGTCCTTTGATTCTTAAGCCAGGTCTTCCCCTACGTTTGCTGTCTTTCTCTTATACTGCATTTTCTGCACTTCATACAACCAGAATTCAAAAGAAGAGACCAAATTCACAATGTTCGGCGACAGTATTCTCAGCTGGTTCAAGTCCTCCAAACAGGAGTCGGCCCCTGAGGCCACCTGGGACCCCAACACTGTTACGATGACTCAGCCTCAGAGCCCTGCCGGTCCTACCACTGAGGGTGTCGTTACCGGTCAACCTGTACGGTGTCATCCTGATCCTAAGCTTTCTTTGTCTCTTGACGCTAACATGAACAAATTAGATTCCCAACAACAACATGGATGTGAGCCTTCGTGGTGGTGGTCCTCCCCCCGGACCTGGCGGTGACGAGTAAGTAACCACTACTTGAACCCTTGACTACAGTACATCCGTTAGATTGCAACTAACCATGCGTCTTGAATAGTTGCTGCTGCTGCCTCGACTGCTTCTGCTGCTGTGATGACTGCTGTGGTCCCGACGGACCTCCTGGTGGCCCTGGCGGTCCGGGAGGTCCTGGCGGTCCTGGTGGTCCTGGTGGCCCCGGTGGCCCCGGTGGTTGGTAAAGAACACCAACGTCTACGATCATGTTTCTTTTCGTTCTTATCATTTTACTCGCCACGTTCGAACTTGATACCACTATACTGAATGTGATGTTGTGGCGCAATGGATGAGCGGGAGCTTGTTTGCCTGACGGAGGACATGTCAATGGTAGATAAGCTCTGTGTCATGGTTGTTTTGTATGATACTTTGTTATTATTGGTTATGTTATATGCAAGACTCTCGGATTACTCGATCACCTATCACTTGGGGAATACTTCAACGCCCTTGCCGCTTGGGGCGTACTTTCATACTATAAAGACTGTATTCTAGTCCAAAGATATCTACAACACGGCATAATGCAATATTACCTGATCTATTTGGTTATATAAACTTGGTATACATATTAGAAGGCTTGCATAGGATACATATTCCGCGGCACTTAATGCACAAATACATATCGAACTGCTATGAACACAGTGGAATTATTTTCCTGCCTATGCCAAGTAGCACAACAATGTGAGCCTTACGTGCATATCGTCAAGATCAGGTATCCTGCATAGCTGGCCGGTAGCACAAGGCCGAGTATGGGCTGCATAGGGAACCTCACTGTTATCTATATAAGACGCAATATGTTGGATTCCGTGGTACATGATCGACTTGATTCGGGTATCGAGTGGATTGTAGTCATCCAGTTAGAAGCTATCGTATTCTACCAAAGTAGTCAGAACCCGCGGGACAATAGATAAGAACTGGATACTGGTTCGCACAGCGGATCTGGCATGCTCGAGCGCTTGAGAGCGCCTAACAAACGCTTTTTCTGATTGACTTCCGAATTTGATGTCCTTGCAGTTAAATGAAACTATAACACCCTGGTTAAGAACAACATAAGGTCCACGACAACAGCAAGGTACACAAAACACGTAATTGAAATCTACCAATAGAAGAAGATCATTTACTATCCATCCAACAGTGATACTACTTGGCAACCTGCTGCTTCATTCCGCGGGCGTTTATCAAGACATCGGATATCATAGGTGGCTGGCTAGCTGCTAACCCTTGCCGCCTATCAAGCATAAAGCATTCCAATCATGTCACGCCCAACCCAAGTAATGATCATCTTCCACTCTCAACCAACCAGCATCCAATGATGTATAAAATCCTGTTCACGATGTCTCACCGCAAGAAGCAAGAGCAAATAATGATCACTAATGGAAGATTCTCCGGGAGAATAATAAATAGCGACGAGGGAGGGCCATGATAAGAGGTTGCAGCAGCAGCAGCAGCGAGCAGGATTTGACCGGGTGCACAACAGCCTACATAAGGGGATCCTTCTTAGTTTTTCGCAAATCATGCGTTTCTTCAGCTTCCTCGTTGCAGTTACCTTAGCCTCATTGGCCATCGCACACCCGGGCCCTCATAAAAAAGCCACGAGAGCCGAAATCTCCCGTCGACAGGAACTGTCTTCTCGTTGCGCTCACCATGCCGGCGAATACAACGCAAAGAGATGGAAGAGGAGCTTGGAAAAGCGGCAGAATATTACGACCATCGAAGCTACGACGGAAGCACCTTACTATAAGACGATTCAGAATGAGACCTGTGTGCTCACGCCCGACGTGACATCCGGACCGTATTGGTGGACAGAGTCTCAGACACTTCGGCAGGATATTAGGGAAGATCAGCCAGGTGTGCCGCTGTCGCTTGATATTGGGGTGATGGATATGGCGACATGTGGACCCTTGGAAGGGGTGCTGGTGGACGTTTGGCATTGCAATGCTACGGGCAAATATTCAAGTTTCACTGGGCTGCGAAATGACATATCCAAATCTGAAACGCTACAAGAGCTTAACCTGACCTGGTTTGAGCCTGGACAGTCGGATATTCATACGGATAATCAGACTTGGTTGCGGGGCATGTGGCCGACGGATAGTAATGGGATGGTGGAGATGAAGACTATTTTTCCAGGTCAGTTGTACAACAATTCTCTGGGAATACATTGACATGCTGATATAAGGAGTTTGAACTTGCAGGCTTCTACTTCGGAAGATCAATCCACATTCATATTCAAGTGCATACCGACTGGGTGCTGAGAGACAACGGCACCCTTGCGAGTGGGAATACCGTGAGCACGGGGCAGGTTTTCTTCGACGAGGAACTTGAGCAGGAAATCATGGCGTTGGAGCCGTATTCCTCTGTGACAGGGATTCAGAGACTTGTTAATGGTCTTGATGACACGTTCCATAATGAGAATACCGATGGGTATAATGCCATTGTGTCGGTGGTTCCCATGGATGGGGTTGATGTGAGGAATGGAATGATCGGGTATATTACTGTTGGTGTGGATACAGAAGCTGTTGACCCTAAATTCCCGGTTCGATAAACTTGGGTCAGCTGGAACAGCTCTAGACTGGCTTGATAAAAGTGTGATGGCCATGTTCTTGATGAAATTACCCGATATGATAATGTTGGATAGAATTATATGAAACGCCTAGCTTGAATGATAGACAAAGCTCGCTTTTACTTGAGTAGGCGAGTCATAAAACCAATCAGTGATCAACGTACTATTGCCATTAGCTCCAGGACAGGGATTGATTTAGCTTCTTCCAGAAGGATCTGTGAAGCTCCACAGTTGGGCCCTCTTGTGCTTCGAACTACATCAAAACGTTATATTATCTTCTATGTTAGTATGTTGGTAACTGGCCGGATATCCATGTTGATGTCTAGATATTGTGAGCTAGTACTATTGCTATTCTCGGCTGAAAGCGAGACGGTATCTCAGAAGCAGGAGTGATGTTCACTGTGTCAAAACAGTATTCAGGGACTTAAGGAAGACCCTGTAAGGCTGCAGTTGACGGATCCATGAACTGTAGCTAGAAACATTAGTTTGGAAGTAAAAAATCTATGAGCCAAGTCAATCGTCCATCGAGGCATTTAACCGATTGCACCATACAACATGTCGGTGTATTATATGTTTTATGAACCTGTTCCACATGCTTTGGTTCACATAGATCGTAATTACTCTCGACAAGACTTCAATGTAGCCATATTCTCAGCAACAGCATTATACCCGCAATATAACCGTAACTCCTAGTGCTGGACGACCTTGCATACTAGCAGGGATGAAAAAGATGAGATGGTGGATACGAACATCCGTAATGCTCCACCACTGGGTGGATGGATCGCGTCGCGCCCACCGGAGAATTGCCACTCCGGGTAAATAAGTGGGTTGAAGTGTGCTCTTCTGGGTCAGCAATCCGAAACGAGGTGGAAGCCGTGACTTTCCGATGAATGATTGGGGAGAAAGAAGTAGCTAGAGGATTATGTTTGGGGTGAAGCGAACGGGGAACTAAGAATAGACCGATCAAATAACCTTGTCTGGATGATTTAACCGAGTTAATTATGTACTTAGATGCTACCGTATCTAACTCCTGGGCGGGATTGGATCGGAGAATGACTGCGATTGTAACATGTAGAAGCAGCATAGCAGGGATGACTGTATTGTGTATATTGAAGGTGTCAATCATCGTCTGGTGTGTTTCTTCTCTAACAACCTCTTCAATATTGTTCCATCATTACCAGTTACTCCTGTTGCCGTAAAACACCCGACTTTGCACTTGGGGGAACAGAACCGACGCCCCGATAAGACGGAGATAAGAGCCCCCACCGGTCGGCTTCCACAGAAAGCATAAGTGTTTGACTTGAGCAACCTATCCATTGCAAGGAAGGCTGCCCAGAAAGTTCTCTAGGCAAGCCACTGTTTCTCCAAAGCTTACCTGCGCACCAAGCTCGTGTTTATAAGCACACTATCCAGGGTAGTAAGTGCAACATCCTGGCTCACGGATGGTCTTTTGGACTGCGACCGCCGGGCAGTCTGGCCCAATGGGGGAGAATCCCATAAATCATGCCCCAGACCGAACCCCGCGCTCTGAGGGGCCACCGGGTAAATGCCCTTCTTAGCTTCTATCCACTTTCTCTAACCCATCAGTAAGCCCATGATGGACCCGTCGCGTTACTGCTATTTGGCAATGCTCCTATCGGTGGCGAAGGAACCAGCTACTTGCAGCCTCTCACATTGAAGAAAAGATCATCCCTGAGCTTTTTTTCTCCTTTCTTCCCCGTCCTTCAATGATGGAGGGGTAGACCGCTGTTACCAAGTACTTAAGCCCGGTAGATCCTCTTTCCGCTTGCTTTCCCATCCTGCTCATCCCTTGCGTTCACCTCTTCCGACTTTTTCCCTCCTCCCTTTGATATCTCCCCTTCATTCGATTAGGTCATCATGGCTACCGCAACTGTTCTCGAAAAGGCGAACATTGGCGTGTTCACAAACACCAAGCATGACCTGTGGGTCGCTGACGCGAAACCCACGCTCGAGGAGGTCAAGAACGGCCAAGGATTGCAGCCTGGTGAGGTTACAATCGAGGTTCGCAGCACCGGAATCTGCGGGTATGTCTTCCGTCCCTCTCACGACTGGCTTCGTATTTCCTGGCTAAACATTGGTCATCAACATCCAGGTCCGACGTGCACTTCTGGCATGCAGGCTGCATTGGGCCTATGATCGTCACGGGAGACCACATCCTGGGTCACGAGTCCGCGGGACAAGTCGTGGCTGTTGCGCCCGATGTCACCTCCCTCAAGCCTGGCGACCGTGTCGCTGTCGAGCCTAACATCATTTGCAACGCTTGTGAACCCTGCCTGACTGGTCGCTACAACGGTTGTGAAAATGTTCAGTTCCTCTCCACCCCTCCCGTCGACGGACTGCTGCGTCGCTATGTCAACCACCCCGCTATTTGGTGCCACAAGATCGGTGATATGAGTTATGAAGATGGTGCGCTCTTGGAACCTCTGAGTGTTTCTCTGGCGGGTATTGAGCGTAGTGGCCTTCGCTTGGGTGACCCATGCCTGGTCACTGGTGCTGGGCCCATTGGTCTCATCACCCTGTTGAGTGCTCGTGCGGCTGGAGCCAGCCCCATCGTTATCACCGACATTGATGAGGGTCGGTTGGAATTTGCCAAGTCGCTGGTCCCTGACGTTCGCACCTACAAGGTGCAGATCGGCCTCTCTGCTGAGCAGAATGCCGAAGGTATCATCAACGTCTTCAACGATGGACAAGGCTCGGGGCCTGGCGCTTTGAGGCCTCGCGTTGCGATGGAGTGCACTGGTGTGGAGAGCAGTGTGGCTTCGGCCATCTGGAGTGTCAAGTTCGGCGGCAAGGTCTTCGTCATTGGCGTCGGAAAGAACGAGATGACCGTTCCTTTTATGCGTCTCAGTACTTGGGAGATTGACCTTCAGTACCAGTACCGGTACTGCAACACCTGGCCTCGCGCGATCCGCTTGGTGAGGAACGGTGTTATCGACTTGAAGAAGCTTGTGACGCACCGCTTCCTCTTGGAGGATGCGATCAAGGCCTTCGAGACGGCTGCCAACCCCAAGACAGGTGCCATAAAGGTTCAAATCATGAGCTCCGAAGAAGATGTGAAGGCTGCTTCCGCTGGTCAGAAGATCTAAACAGTCGCACACTTGAGAACATACTTCAACTGCACATTTTTGGTGACTGGTCACCTCGGATACCTTTCGCATTCATGACACATAATTTTGATGACACTTGATGGATGGTTTATCCCATGTAACGTTTTCCTTTTTTCGATGTTGTTAGAGATCCCTGCTGGCTGGAGGCATAGAGATGCACGTAGAATTCTATTCCTTCATGTTCAACTCTCAGGCATCTGCATTTGGACATGTGTTGCAGATAGAGTAGCTGTCTCCTCGCAATGACAGGCGTCCGCACAGAATGAAGCGGGAGAGTAACCCAGAGCTGTAGGTTGACTGAAACACTTGGTCTTACATTCATTTGCGCACTCCCCAGGTCCTCAAGCTTCTGCCAGGGTACCCGACATGCTAGATGGGCGAGCTGCCCCTCGAGTGTTACAATAGTACTATGTGCTCAATATCTTATGCCACTGCCACCTCAACTGTTAAGGCTTGCAGCACTTACATTAGCGACCGCCTCTTGACAGGTCAGAGCCACCTATCAGCTACAACTACGTATCAGCCGACCGAGTCCGTTGCATCCGATGCTTTGTCTGACTCTTGGTGTGATTTGGAGTAAGCAGAAACATTTACTTTTGCCCATGTTCTTTGAACGAGATCTGATCCTGATCCTTTGAATGTCTCAGTTTGTTTGTTTGCGGGGCGTCAAGCGGGGCACGTGGTGGGGAGAATGAGGAGAGCCACCATCACCCGTCACTTCCTCGGTTCCATCTTCATACTACTATTCCCTGCCAGCAATGCTTACCTGCAGAAAATCAGGCCCACCATCCAAAGCATTACCAAGTGATATACCGATCAGACGTGTCCAAAGCCTAGGCTGCTGCACAAGATTCAATGGACGAGAACCGGTGTAAGTGACCCGAAATTATTATACAGTCCCTGCATCAGCCCCAAGCCGATAGCGGCGAAGATCCCCGATATTTGACCGAGATGGGACGACCATAGACTCACATTGTCTTCTTTAGGCAATCGTCTCCACGTTGCTCGGCTCTTCTCCCCTATGAACATTGCTTTTTCTCATCGCACTGCTCGGTTCATCCCGCCTCTTTGTCAGTTACATTCCTTGGCTTCGCTGATTGAATCTGCGGGGTCCGGTCATACCGCGCAACGCCACATTATGCACTTCAGCCAAGGCGCCATGCATTCAATGTCATCAGTCCGTGCCCAAACACATATAAGCTGCTGTGACCTCCCAGTTTGGATACAAACTCAAGGCTTGTTGTAGTCCGGGGTAATCCTAGAGCCAACATCACAATGTTGGGGTCTTTGCTTTTTCTCTTACCCCTTGTGGGCGCTGCTGTCATTGGTCCCAGGGCAGGCAGTCAGAGTTGCCCTGGGTATAAGGCGTCCAATGTGCAAAAGTCTACTAGGTCTTTGACTGCGGATCTGACTCTAGCTGGTACACCTTGTAATAGCTATGGCAAGGACTTGGAGGACCTCAAGTTGCTTGTGGAGTATCAGACCGGTGAGTGTTCTTGTATGAATCAAGGGACCCTGACTGACGGCTTTCTCCAGATGAACGGCTACATGTTATGATCTATGATGCCGACGAAGAAGTCTATCAAGTTCCTGAATCGGTCCTTCCTCGCGTAGGCAGTGACAAGGATTCTGAGGACAGTGTTTTGGAATTCGATTATGTGGAAGAACCGTTTTCGTTCACCATCTCCAAGGGAGATGAGGTCCTGTTTGACTCTTCGGCATCCACCCTGATTTTTCAGTCGCAATATGTCAGGCTTCGCACCTGGCTGCCCGATGACCCGTACGTGTATGGTCTCGGAGAGCACTCTGACCCTATGCGTTTGCCAACGTACAACTACACGCGGACCATGTGGAACCGCGACGCGTATGGCACTCCGAACAACACCAACTTGTACGGCAGTCATCCTGTGTACTATGATCACCGT